GATTTAGTAAAGATCTTGTTGAGATTACAAATGAAGGGGTAAACTGTAATAGCATATCCCACGTGCTATAGTGATTTGAGTTTAATTAATTTTTTGTACATTCACCTAATTTGCACACAATCTGTGTATATCTAGCTAGTTAACTCCAATGTACTTAGACGATTTTTTTTCTTATCGTTATTTGTTATTTCAAATCTCATTATGAAGAAATCGGTTTTCAATCTGCGCAAAATCACACAAAAACTCATTTCAAGTAAAATATTGAAATACAAATTTTGGTTGTAACACATACATAAATATTTACCATGAAGAAAACAATGGTTAATTAAAAACTCTAACTAACAAAAAAAAATATAATTGGTTAAATAATTATTTTAAAAAGTGATATGATATTTTGTGTATAATATATAACATGATAGTTACGAATATTCGATCGCTAGAATCCAACGGTTAGATCTTGAGATATCATCGATCTACTCAAATTTGTTCGAGTAAAGAACAAGTTATTTGTGGTTTAAGAAGATTCACACGTGACCGACCGGACACATAGAGTTATCGATCGGATGCAGAGCCGCTGGCCTTGACGCAGAGACGATTTAACAAGGTGATCGATCGAATACTTTGGTGATCGACCGATCACCTCATCCGATGAAATTGAGAATTTTTATTTTTTCGATTTTATCTCCAAATCTTCAAGGGTTTCACCCTAAATACGACTTGTTCCCGATAAAAAGACTACAAGCAACCACGAGAGAAGACATCACCTTGACCACGACATCACACACTCAAAGATCTGCACAAAGCTCTTAAGGCATTCATCTCTTTCACTTGTTCTTTCTATTGCTAGTTTCGATTAAGAGAGAAGGATTTCACCTCTTTGTAACCCATAGAGAAGTTTTCTCGAACCCTTTCACTACTGTTCTTAATGATTGAGTTTATCTATTGCTTTTGCTCCATTGTTGGATTCTATGAGATAAATTCGAAGAAGTTTCATGGTTCGATAGATAGGTTGAGTAACTAGGGTGGCTATTTTGATATTTCCAAAGTATTCTTTCATCTAGATTCTTTCATCATGTCCTTCAATCTGTGGTTATATTTTCCGGTTATACATTTACATTACACTGATTTCTAAACAATTGTGGCGGTCAAACTTTTATATCGTCTCTCACCTAATTTATAGGAGTATATTATTTAGATTTAATGTATGGGTACAAAGAAAAAAAAATCAAATAGAACAAGAAAATCAAATTAAAAGTACAATGTTGTTTTTAATATAAAATGTTAATGTGAAGGTGCAGCGATATCATGATGAATTTCTTTGGGAGAACAACGACATATGGGAGAACCATAGTATCTACAAAAAATCATACTCCTAAAGACAATCGTAGGCACACTCGTAGGCACACTCGAAACAGATTTCAGGACCAGACCAGGGGGTCACATATGGAAGATTTTGTTGACTTTCTCCTTGATTTGAAAAAAACTGTTTTTGTTTTAAAATCACGATTCTCCATAATATTAGATGTACC